CACTACAACTTCTATATTGTTATGATGTTCAACTTGGCAGTCAGGTGTTCATTTTAGCCGCGAGCTGTCCAGGGTTAGTGCATATGGCCAGGTCGGCACCTCTTTGATATCGAATTTGCCAGCACGCGATATTGACCCCGATTCTCTTTGGACGTTGAGTGAAGACGGTGAAAGGTGCACGTTTGATCTGATCGAACAGCCCATCTTGCAGCTAACACGCATTTGATTTATGGCTTGCCAATTTGACCCATGGTACTCTGTTTACCCCAGACCAAACAGTACGCAAATACCTTCACGCACTCGTATCATGTCCTCCTTCCACCCAATATCGCCTCTATTTATTTCTCAATCAGCAGCGTCCTATGTATTGTTCAATCAACAACAGCACCAGTACAAATGCGGGATCGCTCACTAGTGATGTGCAAATCGGCTTGTTCTCAGGGTGGGATGTCCTAGTCGGGAGAGATGCATATACCACCACTGCAGACAGCTTGTTTATCGCAGCAGTTACTACCCTCTACGCAATTCTCGTCACGTCCGCTACAGAGTGGTCCCCTTGCTGTGACAGACATTGTAGATGCTGTCAACGCAACAATAAAGGTGAGGAAGAAGAAACGCATTGTCTGTTTGAGGCGGTATGATCTGCTGAGGGCTCGAATGATTTCTTTGAGGTGGGTGGAGGCTGGTGAAGGTAGGAAGATGACTTGCTTTTATATTACCCCACTCAATTACATTTGATTGTTTTTTTAGCGAATGGGGAATATGCAAGCGAGAGAAAATAAAATGATATATGGTATGTTGTTCAACGCTCGTCATCGCGGAGTTCTAACAATGCGATAGAATTATCCATGCGGGCAATACCTATCAATACCTCATATGTCTTACGACGTCTCGGACGTCGGCCACTGAAGTACAATCAGTCTACAGATAATCAGCTTGACGTCCTCGCCATTGCACAACTGGCTGCAGCGCAAGACGATGGTGACGACGAACTTCTCGCTCTCGCTCTCGCAGCCCTTGTAACAGACCATAGACCGAAATCGCGAAGCAAGAAAATTATCACTATGGTTGAACCGCCCTCAGTGCCCTATTCATTACCAGCTAGTTATGTGCATGGGCATTGGGCACTTGCTCGAACACATCCGGTACTCCCACCGGGTATGTGTTTTCGGCGGGAAATGTCCAGGGGAATCCATCATCCATCAGTGACTGTCGGCATTGGACTTCGAGCCTTCGAGCTGCGTCGTTTAATGTGCTGCCTCGCCATACTCTAATCTTAGCATGCACTGCTGTGTGTCAGAATGACCTCAGTTAGAATTCGTTTTAATCCCCGTGACGTGGCTGTAACGAGGCAAAACGCCACGTCAAGCCAGATATTGAAGTTGATCATTTGTAATCACAGGTCTTAACCGTCTTGTTGGGCTCCGACTAGACGGTTAACTAGTATCATTTTAAGTACGTGCCAACGAGATTCATATTGCAGATGGCAGCTAATATGCGATGAAGGCTAGCGAGGTTTACACGTGGTCACCTGCCGCCGCCACAGCTCCCTTTCAAGCTTTAGTCACCATCCGACAATCACGACGATGTCAAGTCAATCCATGGTATATAGCCAAGACGATCCTGTACTTTGTCGGAGACACGGAACAGTGTTTACGAAACTGCTATCAAGGTATCAACGCTCTTCCAAGTTCCTCTTCCTCGTCAACCGTGTCCCTTGCACCTCATACAACGCCTGCTCGATGAATAGAATCACTCCCGAGCTCCCCACGCTACTCTTCGACGGAAAGTACCGCGCACGCGGTAATATTCATCCTCTTTATCTTTATCTTTGTCGCCCTCTTTTTCACTTTCATCATAACGTGCGCTCCCATATGACCTTGGGCTTAACATACTAGAAAATAACACGTCTGTCACAAATTACGATCAGCAACGAAGTGGCGTCTCGTTGGCTCCATCACGCACATCGAGACAGATCCATGAGCTAGCCTTCGAGGCCAATGTTAGACGAACAGATTCAAGCTGCGCGGTACGTTCCATCCTCGTACAGCTTCCCAATATCAATCATCAAAAGCAATGATCGCTCGTTTCGCTGGATAGCACGGCGATTTAAAACCATTGAGCTTTTATTTTTCTGTCCTACCGAACTCAGTCTATAATAGCGTGCTCTCCGGTCTTGAGCTTGAGTGCCCTATTGCCCATCCAGAAAAAGAAAACTGTTCCTCACTCGACCTCACCGGGAACCTCGTTGTCGTGCAGTATTTCCGTGTGGTTATATTTGCCAGTGTAGAGAATAAAGCGAACTACTGTGTCTCGTTCCTCCTTGGCTTTACCGGTGATCGTTTTTTATTCAGCATTTCGAGGGACATTAGAGCAAGTACACATTTTCATCGCCCTGCATCATCATCAAAACCAGCATTCTTCGTCAGACGTACTCCACATAGTGGTAACACCTGGTTCGTGGATGATGACACCGACGAGGATGCCGTTCTGGGTGTGGTACATTTCTCATTTATCTATCCATCCCGAACGCCCAGACTCGGACTCGTCTCACACTATTCGCTATACCGCTTCAAGGACTGATAGCTATCTGGAGCGAGTGATTCTTTGCATTTTGTGATTTCATTACTCGTCCGGCTCTTCTGGAACTTACATGCGAGCATACATTGTAGTGGATGTCAAACCCGGCTGCTATTGCTCTCTTCCCAATTCTGACAAGCCCTTCTTTAGTACATCATTTATCGCTCATGATAAGTAAGTGGTGTGGTACAATCACTTAGCGTACGCACCTGCATTGATGACTAGATCACAAACGGTGCATCCACCGCTGTGATGAGATATGATGCCGGAGAGATACACTGCCGTTACATAGAATATCCGTATCGCGTCATATGCATGTCCCGTGACTGCAAGTTTCATATTCTCCAGACTGAGTCGAGATATGCGCACGACTTGCCGGATCGATAGTTATGGTCTCACATCTACGTTCCGGGTAGTTGGCACCATGGCAGATGAATTACATGGACAAGATGTCGTTGGTAGTCTCTTGACAGACGAATGCAAAGACAGCTCTTCCCACAAAGCAAGATCGTTCTAGCGTGATGCGCCGAAGTTGATTGAAATCCATTGAGAATCCTGAATCCTGAAAACAATTGTTCAGATTGTCGCAACTACAGGCTCAAGTTAAATGCCCGAAACATTAAAGTACATCCATGTCATCATACAAGAACATATACAATTACCCCGGAAAGCAAGCGTGCAGAAGGTTGATTACTCAACCTTCATAACGCTTTCAATGCGTTTCTGTTGAACGCGTCTTTTGAGGTCTGTCCACATCGGGTATCCGAATATCATCGTACAGCCAACATAAGCAGCCTGAAGACAAAGTTAAGGCGTGAGGCTCAGAAAGTCGCGAGATAGGCGCACCGTTACTATGGCACTCTTAACATATTGCCTGCAAAGTGACCAGGTATAAAGTGTTTCAGCGCCATGAATGGCGCAGAGTATTGTGCAGGTGGTTCGGAAGGAAAGACCAAGACCAGTGGCGTTTCTAAACGCGTGCGCTGGGGAGAAGAATGCATCCATAGTGGTGACAGGTATGGAGAGGAATGTGGTGTCAGGCGGCGGTGGCGAAAGGAAATAGAAGTATGCGAACAACGCGATTCCTGTGATGGCAGTCGTACGAGGAATCTGGAATGTGGTAATTTGTGGAGCTTTGAGCTATAGTACACGGATATGACTGTCAGACAAGACTGACTGAAAGCAAAGGTTATCAAGACGTACCATACCAAGACCCTCCTGAGCCTCTGCCTTCATACTCAGAAGCCGGGGTTTGACTTCCTCGTACCCTGAAAGCGGCGGGTCGAATGACACCCGAGTCGTATTCGATTGTCCGGACTTGAGATTATACACAAGCGTCATACCCTGGTAGATTTGTCAACACTAGAGAGCATAGGACATCGCTTTCCCTGGGCCTACCTTGGAGTCAATGCTAGACATCCCAGCAGTGAGCACGTTACCCTCGACTTTCCCGAAATATTTGACATATGCAACCAATGTATCAGGATGGTTCTTCATATACATGCATAGGAAGCCAGACTTGGAAGCGACCGGGTCCGACATGTTTGCCTTAGAAGACTGGGAAGGATGAATACTAGAGTTATAAAACCAGTTTCACTCAGGGCGCCAAATCACCATTGTCCAGTTGGCAATATGGCAATCGGCTGCAATAGGCTGCGATATGACGCTGCCAGCGTGTGATTACGAGTTTATGTGATTTAAACTAGTATAGGCCTTCGTCCGGACCATCATGACGCGCACTATGATTTCGCTTGGGACCCACGTTTACATTGTACACAGCGCTCGCTGTCGTACAGAATCTGTGCAAATTCGCGCGGCGTAGCACACCGGATAAATTAAAAAGAATAAATTTCAATGAGGCAAACCATCTCTTCCTAATCCCTAAAGGTGACCAGGTCGGCGCAGCTCGAGAGAGCGTCGTGAGCTTTGTAAGGCGTAGAAGAATCTCCATGTGAGTGTTCTTAGTTCTGCTCCATGTCGACGTTTCTTACTACATGCTGGTCCATTTGAAGGCCCAACACTGGCAGTGCTGTATTAGAATTACAGAGACGGTGATATCGAGACGGTGATAATATGCAGTAAACGTGCGCAGGTTCGTCTTCCAGCTGCCTCTGATATGTGCTAGAGTTGGCGGAATCGACTCTCAGAAGTGCCTAGACTTGTTACTGCACGACCTGCACAGTTACGAACATTGGCCAATAATCAGATATCCATGTGGCGAGCTCAAGTCGGTATTCAGTGCGTATATAACCCGTCGAACTAAGTTGGTATTTACGCCTTGCTTTCTCCCAGATCTTTTCCTTGTGTTGTCTGGTGTTTAGATCCACGAATACCCCAAGACCAAACGGTACGCAGATCATTCATACGCTCGTATCATGTCCTCCTTCCACCCATCATCACTTCTATTTATTTCTCAATCAGCAGCGTCCTACATATTGTTCAATCAACAACAGCACCAATGCGAAAGCAGAACCACTCACTAGTACGTGCAAATCGGCTTGTTCTCAGGGTGGGATGTCCTCGTCAGCTTGCACGCACTGATTAGCACCGCAGGTATTAGATGAATCGCAGCAGTCGCTATTCTTCACGCAATACCCGTCTAGTTGGCTACAAGTCGGTCGCCTTGCCGTGACAGACATCATAGATGCTGTCAACGCAACAATAAAGGTGAGGAAGAAGTAACGCATTGTTTGTTTGAGGTGGTATGATCTGCTGAGGTGCTCTGATGATTTGTTTGAGGTGGGGTGGACAAGTACTGGCCAGTGACGGTAGGAAGATGGCTTGCTTTTATGTTGTCATGAAAAGATCGGCAAAATGGTTATGCCTGCCGGGCAGATGATACTGCTTTCCGATCATTTCGTGGGTGTAGACATCTTGGCGCGGCCCTGCCATCGGTCACCGATCATGATGTACCGGTAACGCAGCTGTGACGAAGCAAAAATGCTACGTCGACGCTATTGGCAGCTTGCCTAGCCGGCCTACATTACATAATTCCTGACACTCTTCCTGTCTCCATGTCATTTATGTTAAACCAATTCAACGTCAATGAATGAGGTCTGACGCAGCCTCGACGTGGAATGGGTGGCGCTGACGCGGCAAGGGCGAAGCTTGATGGGGTATCGATGAGGTATGGATAAATATGTATGATGGACACGATATGAGCAACGCTTGACACGCAAATAAATAGTGTACCATGTCAAAGCATCTTGACAACCAACGCTCACCGGACCACTATCAGTGACACTTAAGTCAAGCACAAACGGTGACGTACTGCAAGGTGATATATCCTGGCTGTACGAGGCCCATGATGGATGATAATGGCTATCCACAGCTATGTGGTATGACAGTGTCACTACATAGATACAACTCTATTCTAAACATCAATAACTTCAAGCTCGTTATACTCTATCTGGTAATGTGCAGAACATACCACCTCGTAATCCCACTTCCTGTTGAGCAAATAGATTCTATTCTTATCGACCCACGCGTCCGCTAACTCTGATTCAGCAGAACCAAACTTTCTGTCCAATGTGACCTGGACGTAAGGGAGGGACGTTGTCAAGGTCATCGCAGGCCTGCCAGTCCACCTGTGGAAGTCTAGTATTGTAGATGGCTCTCCCACCACTCGTCCCAGACCCCGCCTGTTCGTCACAGCTAGCGGGCTGAAGTCCATGATGTGTAATGTATGCTTCAAGGGACCCGCGGCTGCGTTGCCCTCCAACAATGCTTGCAGAACTCGATTCCCACTAACGTGGACTCTGGATTGACCATCTTAGCTGTGAGTGAGCGCATATGGCCACGTCAAGTACGCAAACACTTCAATTTACTCATATCATGTACTCTATCATGTACTACTTCAACTCACTATCGTCTCTATTCACTTTTCGATCAGCAGCTTACGTATTCAAGTTGTTCGATCAACAACAGTACCAATGCGAAAGCAGAAACACTCACCTTTAGGGCTCTGCCATCCCCTGGGCCAGCTCTATAATTTGGGTTGATCATTTTAGGTCACGATGAAGGTCGCGCCATATCTTCCAGGGTGCTTTTCATGGAATATATCCTCGCAACCATCCAAGACCCCCCATTCAGTCCCTAGTTCAGCATACCAGGAGCTTGTGAACACTTGCGTCTTTCGGTATCATCCGTGCTGGTATACGCCCAGATAACATCGTCGTATCTAACGCTCACCTTAGACCAGTGGGCCTCATTGACTTTGTGGTGCGTCAATTTCGCACTTATGAGTCTGACAACAACCGGGAAGAGATTGTCATATCCGAAGGAGATTAAGAGGTAACTCCGGCACTATAAAAAGTTAAGCCATTTGGGACAAGGAATGGCACAAACAATGGTACGCATGATGCTCAGGAGAAATTAGATTGGCTTCGTATTCCAAAAACTAAGGCATGATCTAACTGTCCGCGGAAATTCGAAAGGCATCTTAAGCACTGCTCGGTACCATGGGTCACGGTACGCCAATTCAGAGAACCCATGCCCAACAACAATAGAACTTTTTGAAATGCGGCCCTCGGAACAACTGCTTAATGTGATAAAAATTGTTCACTTCTTCCTAGTGTTCCAAATAAGTATGGCATCAATCAAATTGAAAAAAATTTAACTGGTCACATGAGAGACGAGTATCACCATAAAGAACTGACAGTTAGCTAACAACGGCCAACCGCAAGCGTTGGGAGACCAAATAAGAACGCTAGGCAAAGAGAGAGAACATTGATATCAGACCAGATTGTATTTGGGCGACAAATTTGGTACCTGCGTGACAGCACTTTTTCCAGCACTGAGGTCCCATGTGAGGTCCTACGTCGCGCAGTCATATAAGGGAAGAGCTTCCGATCAAATCGAATCTGTCGATATGCATAGCTTTCAGGATTTTATGCCCTTGATAGCACAAGACAATCTAAGTACTCAAGGTTGGACGATACCTGGCCACGCCGTTATCTTCATCTGTATTATGTATCCTGAGACCCCTAGGAGAACAGAATGGAAAATAATACTCAACTTGATCGAGGTAAGTCTATTACTCCAGAGGTACCACGTCTGGATAATCGATAAATGTAAAACCTGTATTTGGACATGAAATCAGTAGGCGCATGCCACGACGAGGGTAAGGAGGTGAGGAATTAGGGCTTGAATTCAAGTGTCAATGGCGATGTATATCCGACTGGACTCATCTTCGTTCTTCCTCGCATGCATGCACTCGCTCCCAGTGTGATGATACAGTGACGGTGGGACTTGATGTGCTAGATTTAGAATGCCTATCAACGTATGGACCTGGTTATTATGTCCGTACTCCTGGTGTTGGCTATGTATCTCTCACTCCGGGAGGTGGGAAATAGGGAATTGCTCGGTGTTCGGTCTCGGTGGCTTAGGACTCTCCGGGAACCTACGTGACAGCTGTCAAACAATCCTAGGACCTGACTCGATTGAGGTGGTCGAGCAAGCGATGAAAAAATTGTCTTGCGGACGTCAAATTGGCTCATTGACATGCAATGTTAACTGCAAGTGAATATTTAATTCTTGGGGAACGACCATAGTAATGAGCGATCCTTACGTCATCACCTTCCGTTTTCAACAACTCCAAACAAACTAAAGGAGACCTACCCCAACTGCAATTCGCGAGGGCGCAGATCATTCATCAATGCTCGACGAGTCATGTGCGATGACACGAGGTATCGTTATAATTACTCCATATCACTATCACATCAAACGCGTACACCTTCGGCACACGAAATTGTATCATATGACTCGGATGTATTTTGATCTTCTGTCCATGATATCAGTCGGACCTTGTACTTGATTCCTTCGAACTTCTACGTTGGAAGATCGTCCATCTTCGACGGAGGATCCCTAAATGGGCAATACATCATTGCCGTTCGAGTTGCTGTTCGTGAGTACGAGAAAGTTGTCCTGTAGTAGTTGCGAGGGGGATACTCATTTTTATTTAGAAAGCGAGCTCACGGGTGTGGCAGAGGATGGGGGTGGTGGTACCGGCGTAGGCTCGTGTTTTATAACACCCGGTGATGATGCCGATAACATACGAGCAGTACAATCCATAATACCTGCAGGCTTGGGAGACGCGGTTGTGGCCGGAAACATCGATGTTGAATAACTCCGTGACGGCGTATCCAGTGTTGTCGGCGGCATTATTTAGGATGAGTGGGAAGGCGGACTTTTGCGGAGGACATCGGTGGTCATACCAAGGTATGTGTGCTAAAAGCGCGCCTTCAATCGCTGAAGAAGGACGAGAGCAGCGAAAGTGACGGACGAGTGGAGTTTGGTAGGGGGCGATGAAACTTGATTTGGGAGTCACTGAGATAAGCATGGTGTGTATTCTGGACAAGCATCGAAGTGATGGATATATATATATCGGTGCTTAATGAATAACCCGATTCAATCGTAGGTTGAGCTGATTGAGTTTTAGGTGGCGTCTCGTCGTTGCTGTTCGCGGCGTCCGCGTTAGCGAGTGCCAGAAAGTTGTCCCATTTGTAGTCAAGAGATTTTTTCCGCCACTGTACATTCATATTACTCGACCGTGGGTGAGCCAGAGGGAAACTTGCAGTTGACGACGTTTTCGAAATTTTGTCATCACCACGTAGTACCTGGCTTTGGGGAGCCGAAGTACCTTCGGAAGGGTAACAAGGCACTGATCACTCGGACTTTTTGATCACAGAAACCGCCTCTACGGCAAGCGAGTAAGCATGCATATGGGCGCTTTTCAGTTAGGATTTCAGTCATGCCCCCCTCACGCACGTGTGGAAGAAACGCGCGTCTTTCTTCGCCAAGGACTTCTGTGAGGCTTTTAAACCTCCCTCCGACTATTTCCTCATGCCTCGTCCACCAATGTCCAAGACTGATGATATGACTACCTTTGGCTCATTCGAACCCACACTGGCCGTCGACAAACCCCTCACATGGTGGAAAACACTTTTGATCTTCTGGGACGTGCTCTCGAGCACCGCCCTAAGTAGATGTTGGCCTGCATTGATTGTTACTGGTATCTGGTCGTCCTCAATATGCGTGCTTAACTATTACACGCACGGAAAGGTATCGATTCAGCCGACTGTTATCACCGTGTAGGGGGTCCTCAGTACTCAGTCCCACGGGAACTATCTTTGACTGATTTTCGTCGCAGGTTCGGTACCGTCCTCGGTTTCATAATATCTTTCGGACATCGTCCAGTTTCGAGCGTTATAATGAGGGTGCAAAACTCTGGTCTCATATCGTGTTAAACTGCCGCATCTTTGCTCGGACCGTGTGGTTTCATGTCCCAGGTGCACAAGCTCTTTTTTTCTTCGCAGTGGTCGCTCAAATGTCACAGATAATGCTTTTCCAGCTCCCCCAAAGGATTGTCATCGTCCAATTGTTGATGAAATCACCGACCAGGACCCAGCGAAGACCCACAATGGATACGCTATGACCCTGATTGAGAAGAAGACGGTAGTGAATTTACTCGAGGCGTATGCTGTCGCCGTCAAGCACTACCTGCGAGGGGAAGAAGGAATTCACTATGAAGATTTGTACCCCTCTCGTTCCCTTCCTCTCTTCACGCCATTACTCGTTTCCCGCCATTATCCCTTCTAAAAATGACCAAATTCGGACATTACGCCGTAGGCATACACATGACTTGAATCACGACAAATCGGAATTCTCTGGAGGCGCAGTCGCTCAAACCCACGAAATGGCAGTGCCCGGATCTTTGTCAAGACCTGATAATCGATCATTTTGG